GCGGCCTCACGCGCCGCGCCGCGCATGCGCCGCCGCCGGCCCCGCCCCGCCGTGACGCCACTGCGTCGWCATGGAGACCGCATGGCGTCGCTCCCCCCACCACCCCGCCCTTAAAGGGCCAGGACGTCCTCCCCGGCGCTCTTAAAGGGCCAGCGCTTCCCCCACCGCGTCTTATTAAAGGACCCGCGTCCCCCTGCCGGGGTGCACCGTGCGGTAGGGGGTGCAGAGAGGCCTGCAGCTAGGAAAGGAGCGCTCAGGAAGGGCTAATAACAGCCTCGGCGAGGGAACGGGTATCCAGAAACTGTATCCCAAAATGCCTCAGTATCCCAAAACGCCTCAGGGACCCCCCAAAACTGCTCCCCTCGCAAGGGGCCCCCACCAGCAGGGCACTCGCAGCCCCCAGCCCTCAGCGACGGCAGGACCCTCAGCCCCAGAGAGCGGCAGGCGACGCAGGGTGCAGGCACAGCGTTTATTGGCGAAGCGGCGGGACCGGCGCAGGGCACCAGGACACGGGGATGGCCCCTCCACGGGGTGGGAACGGCCCCCTCCACGGACACTCCCCGGCACGGCCGTCACTTGTCCTTGTGCTGCACGAGGCCCTTGGCGATGAGGTCGGGGATCTCCACGGCCAGCCAGGGGCCCAGCTGCGGGGCGGGAGCCGTGAGCGGCGGCGGCGTGACGGGCGCCCCACGGTGACAGGGGCACCGCGTCCCCCCGGCGCTCGCCCACGCTCACCCCCAGCGCCATGAGATGCGCCAAGCCGAACTTGGGCACGTTCCGGGCCCACAGCGGCCGGAAATGCTCGTCCAGGCAGATCTTCCCTCCTCTGCGCAGGGGACGACGGAGCCGTGAGCCTCCCTTGGCAGGGAGCCCTTTCCAAGTGCCAGCACGAGCCCGGCACCGGCCCCGGACCCGCTCCGAGGGGCTGGAAACGGCCCCGGAAAAAGCGTCCCCAAGCACCGTCCCCGCAAGCCCCCGTCACCCAGACCTGTACATCTTGGCCGTCTTCCCGTCCAGCTCCGGAATGGCGATTTCGGGAGCGGTGCCCGGATACGTCACGGGGATCTGGCGGCAGGGAGCGCCGCTGCAGCGGGCGGGCGGGCGGCGCGGCCCCGGCCGCCCGCTGCCCCGGCCCCCGGGCCACTCACGTCGAACTCGATGGCGAACTCGTACTTGAGCAGGTCGTGGATGTACCAGCACTTCCCGAACCACCTGCGCGAGAGCCGCGGTCGGCGGGGGGGCACCCGCGGGCGCCGGGGGGGGTCTCGGGGGCGGCGCTGCTCACCCACCGCGTGCCCTCCTTGTTGGACTCCAGGCGGAACCAGTCGTTGTCGGCGCTCTTGTTGTTCTCCACGTACTGGGGGGGACGCAGGAGGCCGGGGGGAGCGGGTGGAGACGCGTCCCCCCCCTCCCGGCAGCCCCCCGGCCTGCAGGGCAGCCCCGCGCTGGGGCTGGGGGGGGCCAGGGGCTGCCTGGGGCGCTGGGGAGGGCCCGAGGGCACTGGGGCAACT